TGTGCAATTGCAATAACTAAAATCTCGTCCGAATACCCCTCCCATGTTATTTTTGTCATGGCAATCTCGTCCAAACTCTGTTGTCCATACTTTTGAGCCATATTTTTCTCGAAATCGGCGAATTCTCTCGCTTTCTTCGCTACCTTGAAAAGCTCTTCCAGAACACTGTCCAGGTTCAAACTGTAATCATTCATTTCCTATCTCCCCCATGCCCTGGCAACTTCCCAACAAACACTTTTCTTTATTTACATCTACATGAATGTAGATAGCAGTCGTCCAATCTTTTCAGTGAATGGCGTGGCATAGCCTTGTTGGTTTGCAATCTTGCACCTCATTCGTGTTTGGTTTGGAGCAACTATCTGAGTCAAGTGTTCTCTAGACTGAATCAACATGGGCCGATTAATCAGAAACGATCCAATTGGAGTGGTAGCGAACCGATAGGTTTTTCAGACGGTTTTTAATGAAGGTCTCATTTGACATTTGTTGAAGGATACTGTGGCTTGGGTGTGGCCCGGTTGGACCACTTGAAGTCGACCTCCTCGTCGATAGCCTTGTTCAAATAGATATTGGACAAAGGTGAAAAGGAGCCAGTTCAATGTCCAGGAAAAACAATTTTCAAAAGAGATCATTTTTAGTTCTCAGACTGTTTACATATACCAGTTACAATGAATTTTTCTCCATCCAAAGCTATTTGTTCAGAGTCTACCCTGAAAGAAGCTTTTCGTCCTTACCGATCAACTATGAGCAGTAACTTAGAGGGTGTCATATCAATAGTAGTGAGCCGACGGAAAAGCCTTGAGTGCAGTAAATAAGCTGACCCCAACCGATCCGATTGCCCTTCTCCTGGGGATTGTTTTTATAGAATAGGGGGCCTACTTCAACGAAAGAAAAAAAAATCATTTTTTCATCCGTCGTAGTACAACCGTATTCTGCAAAAACTATTGAGACTACAGATAACAGTGGCGATGTCGGAAAAAAATTTTTCATCAGAAAAACTATCCTGGGCTCATCTCCAACGGAAGCTTTCAAAGCAGGTTCCGCACCCTAGCGGAATACAGCAGCGAGGAGTGATTTTTCAGCAGATTAAGGGCTTGCTCGACAACAAACAGTTTCTAGCTTTTCTACTCGACCACTGGGCTGTCCTGAACGGTATTCACGCTACACAGCCTTTGGACTATCAAATATCGAATGCAGACAATCCCAGAGAGTACGACAAAATCTTTCACCAACAGTCCGATACATATTGGTCCTGTGAGAAGCTTTTAGAAAGGGTTCGAACTTTTTGAGCTGAAACAAGTTCATGGGCCCTGGAAGCTCATGTTAGCACTGTCGGGTCGACCAGCGGTTCAGAGCCCGATAAGAAAAAACTGATCCCGACGCTCACTACCACTCAGCCCTCCGAAAAAGGATATGTTTCTGATATCACTGAGATGGAGCGGATTCATTTGCATAAATTCAGCCTTACAGCGACTAGAACCCTACACGGGCACCTTCTTCATCGTCTGATTGAACCTTGATCTGAAAAAGGCTTTTTAATTGAGGATTTCTGTAAATTTTTTCAATTTTCATCGACATCGGTGAGCTATGTACCTTGCGTTAAAGCTTCCGTTGTGTAGCCCCAGGGATGTTTATGAAATCATCGCAAACGGCGTTTCTCTGTGTTCGGGAAGTACCACCTCCAGGACTACGAAATAATCTGCAGCTGAATGATCCGCTCCATCTAATCGGCAGTTTTCTCATGTCATCCGTCCCCTCCCTCATCCCATTCCCAAACTTCATTTATTTGTGCCCTTCCATCGTGGGATAATCTCAATGGGTAAGTTTCTCAATTGACTTCAAGTTAAGCCATTGCCCAGTTACTCGGTTTTTGAATGCTCTTTTCTTCAGTTTGGTTTTGTTGACGTCACTTTGGTTGTGTTGGCACGACGACCATTCACCCACGCAGTGTCAGGTTGACATTGTTCTTCACGCCTCATGTTTCCCGCTGCTATGAGTAAACCGTGCATTGAGGTATGCTTAATGAGTCATTTTTCCGGCTCATTTCCTTTCACACGTGCTGATGCGTGGTTGGTATATGCCGCATGAAATCCTTTCGAAGTTTTCCTATGTTATCCCACATTATTAAATATTTATTGATACTATTTATGATTTATTACAGTTGCACCTAAGTAAGAATAAGAATTGTAGTAAGAAACTTAAGCCTTGAGAACTACGAGGAATGCTGGCCTCGTACTCCTACATGCTAACAATGCCGTTGCCGCACCTTGAATAGTGAGGGGGTTACAGATGCCTGTGGATGGTCTTCTCCTGGGTTTCCATCAGAACTCTCATACATATGCTAGAAGTTCGAAGTGNTCCAATAACTTTCTCCAACAGAAAGAAGTTCCACGACCAAGAATCGGTTGAATCGAAGGAGGGCATGTTTCACGAGCGCGTCAGCAACTGCCGAAGGTAAAGTGCAGAAGTTTGTCTCCATCAATGGCATAAACTTGGATTTATGTTGCGGAATTAATGGGTTTAATTACTTCTAGCTACTCAAGGAACTTGCACTTCATCGCCAGAATGCAAAATG